TAGCCCTCAGTGGTCCAGTCCCTCTTGTACCAAGTGCGCCTGGTGGGCTGGTCTTCGTCATGAGCCAGGTTTGGGGCATAGAACTCCTTCCACTCCCTGTGTGTGTGGCGCGGAGGCGGATCATCGCGTTCATCTTGTGGTGTCCATGATCCCGGATGAAAAATCTTGACCCATTGAGCGTCCGGTTGTTGAGGATCAGGGCACCACTCCAACCACGACATGACAACTCAAGCACCTAACTGCACAACCGAGAAGAACACGGCTGCAGGCAATGAACCCTTCATGCCATGTGTCACCAAACATGCCAGTCAACCGCAAAAAATCAATCCAGCACTCGCAGCGCACGCAGCGCCGACCGCGGCGGTTTGTAGCCAGAAGCAACTCAGGTGTCGATGTCTGTCGCCCCAATCAAACTCAGGATCATAGGGAAGCGATGAAGATCGTCAACCACCATCAGAGACCGAGGATGTCGATGAAGAAGACAATCCAGCGTACATGAGGTCAGGCGATCCTCAAGGGCCGCGCTATTCATGGATGCAGTCATGATGTCAAGGTCAATGTCCGCATTGATGCGCGAGAACTCATCCACAATCACGGCATGATCATGTGCACGATACAGGTTGCAGGCATCCATGTCCGAACAGCGACACGGAAAAGACGTGTCAGGAGTCCACCTGCGTTGCCATGTGCGGTAGTTCTAGATCCTGTCTCCCAAGGTAGCACTGCGAGATTCCACAACACGGATCTTTGGAAGAAATAAGGAAGGAAACAGATCACGCCCAACGCTCCAACCATGTTCCAAGCTGAGCCTTCCAATTCTGAACGTGTAGAGGTGGGAGAAGCAGTTGTGTCATGGTGCTCGGTAACTGAAGTTGTCGTTTGCGCATAACCTGGGCGACAATTTTCTGCGCCTTGGAACGAAAAGGCTCGTTGACGAAGACGGAGAGTCGCAGGAAGTAGTAGAGCTGGGTGGGTGGAAAAGCCGCCGATAACAGATCGCGCATAGCTTGAAACGACGCACCTGTGTTGGATCCCAGTTGATAAAGAGTGGAGTAGTGTGCTTGAATGTCATCCAACATCTCGGGTCGTAATTGCCGATGGAGATCAGGATGTAGTCGTCGAAAGCGCCTGTGTAGCGAGAATGAGGTAGGCGATGACAACGAATGACGCCGAAAGTCAACCAGACGTTCACGGAAACCAATTTTCCGAAGAAGTCTGTGCACCCAGGGAGCGTTTAGATGTGGACGTAGCATGTATTGCCACTTGCTTTCCTGAACCCAAACCGAGGAAAGTGGGAGTTTAATCTCAACCGGAATGGCACAGAAAAGCCAGTAGGTGTTGGATCGCTTCCAGTAGTGAAGTGCAGGCTCCAAGAAGGCATGATGTCCCCGTAGTAGTTGTAGAAATTTGCGGCTGCGTGAATGTTCTCGGCGAAGAACATCCTGATCTGTTGCTCCAACGTAGTAGGGACTATGCCATGGTGAGAGTCTGAGGTAGACGCATGGTTGCTGATGGTGACCTGGATCCTGAATGAAGTCAAAGAGGTCTGGGAAGCGTGTCCGCAGTGTCGCATATCCGCAAAAGTGGAGTGCATGATTTCACACAGCAGTGACGTATAGTGACGTCTTGTAAAAATGAAGAACCTCGAAGAACGGCGGAATGTACCCATGGTTTTGAGAAATGAGACGCTGCAAAAAACAGATCAACAGATAGGCAGTGTTCCGACATCTGTGAAGCTCATACCTGTTGGCCACAGTATGAGAGGAACGCGACATGGAATGTATCGGAATCTGAAGTGCAATCCGAACCACGGTGAGCACTTCAAGGATGAGGTCTAACTGAGGCAATTGCTGAATTGACTCATACTCATCCATTGGAATCGACGGTGGTGGAAGTCCAGGAAAGCAGTACTGCCAGCACGTAGAGAACACCGTCAGCGAGTTCAGAAAAGTAGCCAAGGAATGCCTTTGTGCAACGTCGTCAAAGATTCCACTGTGGCGAAGTTCAGTCCACATGATGGATATGCAACCAAGGAAAGCTACAAGGTGGCGGCGACACGCATTCAAGAGACAATGAGCACCAAGCAACTCACAAGGCAAGTAGAGACAAGCACCTCACCAAACAAGCAATGTGCAAGAAGAGGACGGACAAGTTTTGAACCGTTCGTCATCTATGACGCAACTGCCGCTCCGGGCTAATATGCAAGCAATGGAAACTGTTCACCCGGTGAGTAAGCGGGCAGTCACGATGAGGTGACACAGCGCTTTGTCCGTGAGCTTGGTAATGTAGCCAGGTTCAAGTCCCCACAGAGCGGCCATAGCCGCAAACGTAGGTGCATCTCCTTTTGGCATGCGTTGACGCGCCTGAAAGAGCTGGGTCGACATAGATTCCAAGGACTTGTTGCCGTTGAGACGGGATGGGTGATTGGCCCACTTAATCAATGACGCCGCTGTAGTGGTAGTGGGTGATTGCTAGAGATACAAGCGTGGTTGATCACTGGTCCATGCGTAGTGCTTGATGATGTCTTCTGGCGTGCTGTGTATGGTGAGCAGCTGTGACGCCGCCGGCTTGGAAGGCGGGGAAGAAAGTCCGTGAAGAGACTGGATGATCCGAGGTTGTTGTTGAACCGAACCATCAAACGACTTGCCATCGAAGGCCGCCGCACTGACCGTGGGCAGGGAGCTGGTCGGCGTCGAAGATTGTGAGTGGTTGGCCGGAGGTGGTGTAACCAACTCTGCATCATCTTTCTGAGATGGTAACGTAGGGGAAGACGAAGCTCGTTGTGATGCCGAATATTGAGCCTGGAGCAACTCATGAGCTCGATGTAGATCATTGAACTTCTTGAGCATGTCTTCTGCTTGTGGGTAGAGGGCGTAAGAGTCGCGTGATGTTGGTGAAGAAACTGAAGCACCAGATTGGCCAAGTGGTCGTGAACCTTGATGCGCTGATTGAAGTCGTCAAGGTTGAGCCCCAGCAAATTGGCAAGGTCCTTTTCCAAAGTAAGCAGGTTGAGCGGCTGTGATCGTCGCAGTAGTTTTGAACAGGTACTTCAAAGCAGGGCCTCGGTGCGGGTACGAAATCCTTCCCACGTCACGAATCTCCCGTGAGCAAATGGTCGCAGTAGCCAGTTGGTAATGCCCCCGTGTATGACCTGAACCAGGCGAACCTCCCGGATGTCCATGCCAGACATGCCACGTAGAGTGTTGTGCGGGGTGTTGGCAACCGTCATGGGCAGGCTAAAGGAGTAGAGCTGGTTGGTGTCGAACATGCCATCACCAGGTTTCCAATCATCCGGTGGAGTAAGCCACGCTTTTTGAGGTCGAACTGGCAGCGCAGCTGGGTATCCAGGCGATGGTGTAGCTTGGGAAGAAGTGACCGGTGGTGGCATCACGGGCGTCACGAACTTAGCTGGTGTGGGCTCCGGAGGAAACGGCATCATGTAGTTGACCGGAGTATGATGAAATTGCTGTGTAGAGGAGGGGTTCGATTGATAGTTGCTGGCGGCACCGGAAAAGCACTGGAAGTGTTGTAGCCCGAATTGTGTTGCCAGGAGACCAAGTTGTTCCAATCCATGCCATCCGAGACCAGGTTGTCATTGTGTTCACGTCTGCGTGCTTTGCGAGCCTGGGAGGAGGGACTCCGATCCCTTCTGCGCCGAGTTCTGGATCTGTCACGATCATCCCGTGGTGACATGACGAAACAGCAACACGTCCGGAAATGGTAAAGCTCGTCCTTGAGGAAGGATACAAACGACAAACCACAATCAACGACAACTCAAGACCATGTACATGCATATTCATGAATCAAAGCTCGACCACTGTGCAGCACGTCAAGTGCAGCACACAACTCGGATAATTCAAGCATGTGAATCGGCCGACACGCTCCTTGCGAAAGGAAACGGCATCACAACGCAAGGCACAAAGGAATCTGCCAGCAGCGACATCCAGGATTGTGAAACTTAACTATGAAGAGGTGGCTGTCTTCCCTTTAGTGAAACCTCGTTCCTGCTTAAACGTGAAATTCCGCTGTTCTATGATAAGCACGTTGAGGTCAAATTTTCCGGCGTACCGGCCCGGGGTCACACGATGGGTACACCCGAGGGTCCCCCACGAATGGGGTGTTCACACTTAGACTCCAGATGGAGGGTTCTAATCTTTCGAGTACAACTGGTAAGTCTCGGCTTGGATAAGGTTCTGCATGAATAAGTTTCGGCTCGCAATGCACTCGGTTTCCCTCTAGTGTCGAAACGTTACAAGGTTCAACATGAAGCACGCACAGCGAGAGAAACAACGGGCCAAAAAGACTTTGCACAACCATTGCAGGTACACAGCTGGACGTCTCCAACTGCTTCACCAGGGTCACGAGAGTGTCTTCGTTGGTGGCAGACTCTCGGCCCTGCTGCCACCCCCTGCAGTGGGAAAAAGTTATTGTATGGTGGCAGGGTTTTCTGCCACTCCGCACACACACACACGCACACACGGACACACACACACACACACACATGGACACACACACTCACACACGGACACACACGGACACATATACGCAAACAGTCGCCACAAAAACGTGTTGGCTTGCCGAAATGGGCTGTTCCGAGAAAGTACGCTAGCATCAGACTCCAAGTGTGCCGACTCATGCCGAATGCAGAACCTTAGAGTACATCTTGCGTGAACAAAACACAAACGGCAAACAAAGCCATTTCCAGAAGGACAGAATAGTTGGAGTGAAAAGGATGGTGGGGAACAAACAATATGCACAGGCTCTGGATTCCCCAGTGAAAAAACACAACAAGCAAAACCAAACAAGATGCAAGCGGCCGGCTAGCGAGTGACTGAACCCCAATGATGATTCCCCTACTTTCTGAGAACTAATCTGGCAAACAATAGTACACATTTTATACACACTGCATATTAAGATTCTTTCATGCTCACATGACACACTAGTTCACAGCGAAAGGGGCAAACATGCGACTCCACCCGATTTGTGCTGGAACATCGGGCCTGTCTTTCCTTGTCTTGGTCCTCCCGAGCGCTGAAACATTTGCCATGCGGCATGGCATGGACCATCCAGACTCAACACAAACGGCATTGGCAACATATCGCGGGTATTTTCTGAAACTGGGTGCCTATATGCAAGAATACTTGATTACTGTTGCTCTTTCCATTTCATCCTGAAGGAGTCGCCAATTCTAGGAACAACCCTCATTAAAAGAAATGCTTGGGACATGCTGCGCAGCACTCACATCCTGCAGCTGCTTTCGCAGCTGCTCTTTCTGGTTATGCAGGGCCTCAACGTCCTGAGAGCATCATGAATGCGCTTGACTCTTGGGGCAATCCACATGTTGACGGTCCAAGTAGCAATTTAGCAAGTCAGCAGGGAAGAGCCAAAAGTTACACGTCATAGACCAGTCTGCTTGTCAGACTAGGCTTGCCTTTGAAAACAGTCCCATACAGCCGCCACTCCAAACTCCTGCCGCAAGCGCTTCAGTTCCTGCGTGTGCACCTGGATTTGGCCAGCAACCACAAATTGCCAAATTCGCTCAAAGGCACACAAGCGCATCTCCGGCAACCATGCGCCAGGCCTGCTCTTGCTGGTCATGTTGAACAGAAGCCGTATTTGAATGCAACTCTTCTAGGCGAGCCTTGCAGTGACGGCTTTGAAACTGGTAGCCAGCAAAACAACACGACCTTCAGCATGTCTCTCTCATCCTTCAATTGATGCACCTGCCACCATTGCCACCATTGCCACCATTGCCACCAAGCTCGAACACACGTCACGAAACACACTCACGCAGTTTGTTCACAGGCCAAGGCCGCTTGAGCTTCTGGACCAGCGCCCAATCCGTTCGAACGCCGAGCGTCGGCCTGAAGCCCAACCGGCACATCAATGAAGCCTTTTAAAGACGTCGGAACGTGTACCTTCTTGGACTCTGTCAACTTCTCCAAGTGGATCCTGGAACATATTTCTGCACATGTCACAGCTAAATGGCTTCTTTCTCTGTTTGCGGGCTTGCAGAAATATCGAGATTCTACAGAGCGACTGGTCATTAGCTAAATTGATGGGGCACGAGGCCTGGTAGATGCGCCATCGCATTCTCTTGGGGTCGAATCAACTCTCAAACCACAACTGTTGCCGAAGTCCTCAGATTCTCAACCTCAGCCTCGGCTAGGTCGTGTGGAACGCACAGCAAGTTGCACGGACTAGCAAGACTCCCAGTTGAACTGCCACCAGCCTGCAAAGCGTGATTGGAGTTGTTGACATCCCGCAGCTGGTCCTGGCAGTGAATGGCTGTGGCGCCATAGCTGCAGCACCAAACAACTTGAGATGCCACGAGATGCCTGTAATCGCTCAACTGATGGGGCGTTGATGGCACCATCCGCGCATTGATCTTGTAGGCCCTCTATGACCTCGCAAACCAGAGTTCCACAATGCTCTGACAGGCAGCACTGAGCAGCCTCGGTGAAGCCAGAAATGGTCTCCATCAGCTGCTCCTGCACTTAAGCCCTTCGTCCCGAATGGACGGCTTGCGGCCCCGAGCGCACAAGTGTCAAGACTATTTTGTGTCTATCGCGCGCGTGTTGGCATGGTCGTCGGGCGAGCTCTGGTCGCTTTGATGAGGCGCTGAGTGAGTGGCATGTTGTCGGCATGGCCTGTAGAAGATCAGCACACTAGCCTCCTCTGCTTCTGCGAATAGTGCAGGCCATCACTCTGTATTCATACAACTCAAGCAAGTCGGCCCTCAGCGCGTCTCTGCTTTTGGCCCTTGACGAGCAATGGCCCGGCCAGAACGTTAGCCTTACATCAGTCCTTATGCTTTCAGGCCAAGAGCTTGATAAAGGAAGGTGACTTGGCGAGCCACTTCTGCCGACCGCCCCCCCATTTCGCCAGCGTGGCCGGAGTCAGCGCAGTGAAGAACGACACTTGGCTCTGCACCCTGGGAGTGGAGAGAGCCGCGGCGAACTCCTTACAAGAGCGGCGGGAAACTGCAGGAAATGCTGTCTGAAACTAACAAACATGAGGTGTCTCACAAGTAAATGTACAAGGGCAGAATAATTATGCTCATATATGTTTACGGTCAAGCAAGCGTCCAGTGCTTGACCTGATGAAGCCAGGCGTTCTGGTTCGACACCGAGCGGCATACTTGACTGCCATCCATGCCGGCACCCGAGCGTCTGCCAATGCACAGGATATGTAGATGGGAGGGTAGGTGTGTGACCCTATGTTCTCGTATGGTGACAATGAGCGAATATTCTCCTCATGCTCTGGATGCGATGGATCTCCCCATTCTGCAAATTCATGCGCGGTGAGCGGGAGTGATGGATCTAACATTCCTGTAAGAACATCAACAAATGGCACCTCCAGTATGGCTGCGCCAACCAACGCAGCATCTTCCCGCGAATTCAGAAAGGATCCCAAAGCGAACCCACCAGCGCTTGATCCTTTCAAGCATATCGCCCCAGGTACCGCGATGCCGCGCGCCAGCAAAAAGCGGGCAGCATCTGCAAGGTCGAGCACCGATCTTGCCTTCTGCTGCTGTCGACCAGCAGAGTGCCAAGCGGACCCTCGTTCGCCACCTCCTCTTACATGGGCCCAAGCCAGCACCCAACCTCGTCTGAGAAGGGCAATATGCTCAGGTCGGAAGTCGGGCGTCAAGCAGCTGCCATATGCTCCATAAACGTGTAGCAAGCAGGGTGATGGCGCAGCTTCTTGAGGACGAACCAAAGTCAGGGGCACAAGCTCCCCATCGCGTGCAGCAAAATTGAGGCGATCACACTGAACATGTTCAGCGATCTTCAATGCATCAAGAGTGCGGCTAGTTCCAGCATTTATAAGACGCGTTTCTCCACTTGACAAATTCAGGCTGTGGAGGCGACCTGGCTCCACTGGAGATCTAAACGTGAAGCGGATTGTCTCTGCATTGCTTCCAGCGTTGACTCCAGGCTCAATCGACCCAATGCTAGGAAGATCAACCAAATAGGCTGCGCCTGATCTAGGTGTGCCGCATGTGGAAGCAAATTGAAAATCCTCCGAGTGGGGCACAACACAAATGCGTGGTGCGGCAGTGTCATGCCCATAGAGAACGAGCCATCGGCTGAACATGTCCGCATCTGTGACGTGCATCGCACCTGGCGGCAGGAAGACCAGCTGCAAGTCTGTCCACTGAGCCCCGGAATGACCAAGCTTCTCCTCCGGCAGCTTGTACACTGCAAAGTCTGGCCGTTCGTGATTGCTGATGACCACAAACATCCGCCCGTGATGCTCGGCGAAGTACTCCACACCCTTCATGGGCTCAAGCAAAGGAACCAGCTGGATTTCTTGGCTCACATTGCCTTCCTGGCACTTGGCAATGCTAACTTTGGAAGTGTCTTTGGTGTTGGAAGATACTAAAACAAACTGGCGGTCTTTAGTCTTGAACAGCTCTAAGTAAGCAGCTGGATTGTCTTCATTCCAAAGCAAGCGAGACCTCACTTGTCCATCTGCCAGTGTCAAGTGCAATGCTTGGTGTGCTCGCTTGGTGCTTTCATCGGTTTTGACTGCAAGCAGGCTTGCCACATTTCCGGTTCTACCCAGAAACTCTACACTGCGAATGCCGGGGATGCGAATTGCTTGGGAGGCTTTGCCCGGTTCGCGCAAATTCCTCAAGTGAAGCTCGTAAGAGTCATCGCCATGTAAATCAGCGATGTATGCAAGGACCTCATCATCCTCAGATACCTTGCATGCCGTAACATCTGCATAGCCAGTTTCTGCGGCAAGCTTTCCGGTGTTCAAAAAGACATGCTCTGCCTGAGGCTGGCCCAATGGAAAGCGGCCGTACTCCAGAAAGCCGTCCGCATTCGGACGCTGGAAGTACATAAATGACCCCTGTTCTTCGGGCACCATCTCCTCATTGGGCAGCAAGTAGTCCACTTCTTCGTGAAATCTCGATTGGAAATCGGCTGATGGGGCGAAGAAGGACTCAGTGGCAGATTTCTCGGCCTCTAATACTCTTTTCCTTGCTGCATCCTGTTGTATTGTTGCCCACTCGTCGCTGGCTTTGAGAAACGACTTGGAGGAAATCCTTGGGAGCTGTTGACCAGTCGTGCCAAAGGTTGGACGTGCACTTCTCCACATCTCTTGAAGCACTCGTCGCAAGTGCGCCATGCTATGGAAGCCTTGAGTGAGGCTCAGGGCAAATAAGCAAACTTTTTGAAAGTGCACCAGCCTGCGAGCCCAACATTTTTCGACATAGATAGGCTTGCCATGTCTGTCAGTGTCTGGAGCGAGCTGGCAAATGTCAAGTGCATGACGCAAGACATGCGTCTCAAAGTTCCAAACACATACAATGGCAAACCTGCAGCTGCTTCTTCTCGTGGTTGGTGTTTCTCAGTACCTTCCCCGCACAAGTGCAATGGAAGCAAGGCTCAGGCAGTACACTCAGAACTTTTTCATCGTCAGGTAACCCTCACATCTGATTAAATAATGCAAGACAATCTTAGCGAGCAGCAAGCACGCCTTCTCAGATACCTCCTTTTGCAGCATCGTGCGATTTAGCTCCTGAGTGAAGCTTGCAACAACCAAGCCAAGGGCATGGACAATCTCACTCTTTGGGCAATAAGTCAATGCTATCAAAGCGATGCTTAGAGCGCACGAGCTATCACCTCCAACACACTAGCCTGTGAGCTGACTGTTCCCAGCCACACGAAAGCCAAGGTCGATATTCAGTGTCCCCCATTGACATTGGCTTTGGCAAGTATCTTCCGTGTCATACTAAGTTGTACTTGTGATCTGGATGAGTGCGGCCCGTATCATACCTTGCTACAAGTGATATTTCGAACGTGGCTCATGTAGCCGTACTCTCCTGGCGAACCCAAGCGTGCGTCGGACGCGCGCAACTCATTGAGCATGGCTCAGATTTTGTCAGACTCTGGAGCTGCCGACCGCGCCGCATGCAGCTCTTTGCCGGCCTGTCATTTCATCATGTCCGTCTGAGTCGGACATAATCGAAACTCCTGCTGGCAATGAAATTCACCTTGACATGCTATGCTTGCAGCACGTGGCTCTTTTTACGAGCCCAACTCAAACCTCTGCC